TGGGGGTATCGGGGGTGCAGGGCAGAAGGCTGGGGGGGTTCAAGGGTCAGGGCAGAGGCCTGGGGGTATCGGGGGTGCATGGCAGAAGGCTGGGTGGGGGGGTTCAAGGGTCAGGGCAGAGGCCTGGGGGTATAGGGGGTACAGGGCAGAAGGCTGAGTGTGTGGGGGGGTTCAGGGCAGAGAGCTGGGTGTGTGTTGGGGTGTGGGGGGTTCAAGGGTCAGGGCAGAGGGCTGGGGGGGGTGTGGGGGTGCAGGGCAGAAGGCTGGGGTGCTCGGCTCGTGGGGGTGCTCCCAGCCCCCTGCCCTGAGCGGCTCATGGCAGGGGGCTGGAAGGGATATGTCCTGTTCCACCCCCTTCCCCCAGGATCCGTCCCTACCTCTCTCTGCGTCCTCTACGGAGCTGTGTGCACGCTGCCGCTCTTCCCCCTCCCCCTCGCTAGGGCCATCAGCTGATTGGCGCAGGGACGGAGAGGAGGAGGGGCAGGAAAGCACCACGCTGGGGGAAGAAGCGGGGGAGGGGGGAAGCTTGGCTGCTGCAGGACGGAGCTTCTGCCTCCTGCCCCCGCAGGGGAGGGGGGGGGCTGAGTGGGGCGGGGGGCCGGGACCGCGGCAGGGAGCTGCGTGCCACACAAAATCAGCTCGCGTGCCATAGGTTGCCGACCCCTGTTCTAGATGCATCCCAGCCACCTGAAGAGGGGGACAGCGCACCACAATGAGTGGGTGTGGCTTAAACAGCAAGTGGGCGTGGCATACATAACAGTGGCAACAGCTTTATCTAAATGATCTGGAAAAAGGGGTAAACAGTGAGGTGGCAAAGTTTGTAGATGATACAAAATGACTCAAGCTAGTTAAGTCCAAAGCAGACTGCGAAAAGTTGCAAAGGGATCTCACAGAACTGGGGGTGACTGGGCAACAAAACGGCAGATGAAATTCAACACTGATAAGCGCAAAGTAATGCATGTTGGAAAACATAATCCCAACTGTACATATCAAATGATGGGGTTGAAATTAGCCATTACCATGCAAGAAAGGGATCTTGGAGTCATTGTGGATAGTTCTCTGAAAACATCCACTCAATGTGCATCAGCAGTTAAAAAAATCTCATAGAATGCTAGGAAACATTAGGAAAGGGATAGATAATAAGACAGAAAATATCATAATGCCTCTATATAAATCCATGGTATGACCACACCTTGAATACTACGTGTAGTTCTGGTTGCCCCATTTGAGAAAAGATATATTAGGATAGGACAAGGTGAAGAGAAGGGCAATAAAAATGATGAGGGGTATGGAACAGCTTCCATCTGAGGAGAGATTAAAAAGGCTGGGATTGTTCAACTTGGAAAAGAGACACCTAAGGGGGGATATGAAGGAGCTCTATAAAATTATGGCAGGTGTGGAGAAAGTAAATAAGCAAGTGTTATTTACCCCTTCTCATAACACAAGAACTAGGGGTCATCCAATGAAATTAATAGGCAGAAGGTTTAAAACAAACAAAAGGAAGTATTTCTTCACCCAATGCACAGTCAACCTGTGGAACTCTTTGCTAGGGGATGTTGTGAGGTCAAAATTATAACAGGGTTCAGAAAAGAACTAGATACGTTCCTGGAGGATAGGTCCATCAATGACTATTAGCCAGGATGGTCAGGAAGGCAATCCCATTCTCTGGGTGTCCCTAAGTCTCAGACTGCCGGAAGGTGGGACTAGATGACAGAGGATGAATCATTCATTGCTTGCCTGTTCTGTTCGTTCCCTCTCAAGCACCTGGCACTGGACACTGTCAGAAGACAGATTACTGGGCTACGTGGAACATTGCTTTGACCCATGTGGTCATTCTTATGTACCAACAGGTCATGCCAGTGGAAATTTTTTCCTGGAGAAAGTTTTGCCAGCAAAAAATATGGTTGTAGCCAAGATTTTTTTGCGAGGGGGCAAAATACCAGTTCTGAGGTGGGGGGGAAAATCCGATTTTCCCATGAGAAACATCCAAAGGGAAAAAACACGTGAAACATTTCAACTTAAAATCTTGTTTTTTGCTTTTATAACCAAAACAACATTCTAAGTCAAAGCAAGACAGACGTTTTGATTTCGAAATGGAGAGTCAAATCACAAATTGAATCAGTTTGAAACATCAAATTAAAAGCCAACCGCTTTTCAATCAAAATTTCTCACGGAAAAAAAAAATCTGTTTTCCAACCACTTTTATGTGCAGTATAATGATGCTATTATACCTCCATGCTAGTAGATGGCGCACTTTATACCTCCCAACTACAAACACACACACCATTGCCAACTCTGAAGATTTAATCATGACCGTCACGATTCTTAGTGTATTTCTTAAAGCCCCAGTTGCTGGTGTCATGATTACAGATCAGCTAATAATGGATTATTCAGCTCGGTGGCCAAAATGAAAAAAAAATCTGAGACAAACAAATCATTTCAGGTCAGCTCTAAATAGATTTTTGTTGTTTTTTCTACTGAAATTAAAAACAAGAAAAATTAATTTTATGTTGAATGATTGAGGTTGGGGGGGTATTGTTTTGTTTCATTTTGTTTCAGTTTCAGGTGGGTTTTTGTTTCTTTTTTGCGTGGTTTTTGAATAAATCTAGCTAAATTGCAAAACGAAACATTGTTTTGAAACAGACATGTGAAGCGTTTCATTTGGAAAACATCTAAACAAAATGTTTTGTCTTTTTAGAAAAAAAAAAGTCCTGCTCTGCCCCCAGCTCTGCTCCGGCCCTGCTCCTATCTGCAGCTCCGACTCCCAGCTGCGGCCCTGGCCTCAGCCCCTCCACCCCTGACTCCCAGCCCAGCCATGGCTCCACCCCCAGCCGCAGCTCCGCTCCTGGCTCCAGACCCACCCTCAGCTGTGGCCCCTGCCTCCGCTCCTGCTTGCAGCCAAGCCACCGCTCTGGCCCCAGCCTCAGCCCCCTTACCTCTGTCCACACACACACACACACACACACCCCTCCGACCACGGCTTGCGGGGGGGCATGGATGGGGTAAGGGAGGGTGAGATCTAAAAAGTTTGGGGACCACTGCCCTAACAGTTCAGGAGCCAGAGGCAAATAAAAAGAGCCCAACATTTGAAACAAAAAAATCTCATGATTTTTTACGCCAATCTCATGATTTGGAGGGGGGGCGGGCTCCTGATTTTTGACCAGCTGCTCCACAGCTCCTGCTTTTTATGTGCCACTCATAATGCCGCTTGGCACGTATTGCATCGAGCAATGAGAAGAAGAGCTCTGTGTGGCTCGAAAGCTTGTCTCTTTCACCAAGAGAAGTTGGGCCAATAAAAGATATTCCCTCACCCTCCTTTGTCTCTCTGTCAAGCAGACAGCTCGGAGACCAGGTTTGAGTGGCTCCTTACAGCCTTGTAAACACAGATGCCTCTCAATGGCGTGGGGTAGCTGAAGCAAAACTCTGCCAGAGATAAAAGCAACTCATACGCCTGGCAAAAGTGGCCCTGTGGTTCATAACACACTGTCCCTGCTGGGGGACCGGCACTGTCCAACTCGTGTGATTTTATTGCCGCTCTTGTGCTTTTAGGTGTCTTGCTAAGAGCCCCTGTTGGGGCAGTCAGGTGATCTGGAGAGATGCTCGGCTTTCATTGTAAAATAAAATAAGTTTCTAGCCCTCCTGGTGGCAGAGGAGAGCTGGATACTGTAATTTTTCTTGACTCCTGAACTCTCGAATTCAGGAGCTTACTGGGGAATTTCAGTGTCCACTTGTGAAAACAAAAGAAACAACGACATTCCTCGTCCTGGTGTTTGAGGAGAAAAGCTGGGAAAATGAGCAGGGCCGGCTCTGGCTTTTTTGCCGCCCCAGGCAAAAAAGCCTCCCGCCGCCCCCCACCCCCCGGCGGGGAGCGCGGCAGGGGAGGGCGCTGAGCCCGGCCGCAGCTCCACTCTCCCCGGCCGGCCAGAGCGCCTGCTCTGTCCCCAGCTCTGCTCCGGCCCTGCTCCTATCTGCAGCTCCCACTCCCAGCTGCGGCCCTGGCCTCAGCCCCTCTACCCCTGACTCCCAGCCCAGCCACGGCTCCACCCCCAGCCACGGCTCCGCCCCCAGCCGCAGCTCCCCGCTCTCCCTGGCCGGCTGGAGCACCGGGAAGAGGGCGGAGAGCCCGGCCACAGCCCCGCTCTCCTTGACCGGCCGGAGCGCCGGGGGAGGGCGGCTCCGCTCTTCCCGGTTGGCCGGAGCGCCGGGGGAGGGCGGAGAGCCCAACCGCGGCCCTGCTCTCCCCGGCCGGCCGGAGCACCGGGGGAGGGCAAAGAGCCCGGCCGGGGCTCCGCTCTCCCTGACCGGCTGGAGCTCCGGGAGGAGGGCGGAGAGCCCGGCCACGGCCCCGCTCTCCCCGGCGGCCGGAGTGCCGGGGGAGGGCAAAGAGCCCGGCCGGGGCTCCGCTCTCCCTGACCGGCCGGAGCTCCGGG